GGCAAATTGGATAAAAAGTCAAAACCCATCAGTATGCTGTATCCAGAAAACCCATCTCACATGCAAGGATACACATAGGCTCAAAATAAAGGGATGAAGGAAGATTTACCAAACAAATGGAGAGCCAAAAAATGCAGGAGTTGCAATTCTAGTCTCTGATAAAATAGACTTTAAACCAACAAAGACCAAAAGAGGCAAAGAAGGGCATTACATAATGGTAAAAGGATCAATACAAGAAGAAGAGCTAACAATCCTAAATATATACAAACCCAATACAGGAGCACCCAGATACATAAAGCAAGTTCTTAATGACCTACAAAGAGACTTAGACTCCCACACAATAATAGTGGGAGACTTTAACACTCCACTGTCAATATTAGACAGATCAACAAGACAGAAAATTAACAAGGATATCCAGGACTTGAACTCAGACCTGGACCAAGCAAACCTAACAGACATTTACAGAACTATCCACCCCGAATCCACAGAATGTACATTCTTCTCAGCACCACATCACACCTACTCTAAAATTGGCCACATAGTTGGAAGTAAATCACTCCCCAGCAAATGCAAAGGAATGGAAATCATAACAAACAGGCTCTCAGACCACAGTGCAATCAAATTAGAACTCAGGATTAAGAAACTAACTCAGAACCGCACAACTTCATGGAAACTGAACAACTGGATCTTGAATGTTGACTGGATAAACAATGAAATGAAGGCAGAAATAAAGATGTTCTTCGAAACCAACAAGAATGAAGACACGGTGTACCAGAATCTCTGGGACACAAAATTTTTCTGTTTTTAGTAGAGAGGGGGTTTCACCATCTTGGCCAGGCTGGTCTTGAACTCCTACCTCATGATCCACTCCCCTCAGCCTCCCCCAAAGTGCTGGGATTATAGGCGTGAGCCACCATGCCCAGCCGCAGCAAGCTAACTTTTTTTGTATTTTTAGTAGAGACAGGATTTCACCATGTTGCCCAGGCTGGTCTTGAATGCCTGACCTCAGGTGATCCATCTGCCTCAGCTGGGATTACAAGCATGAGCCACTGCGCCTAGCCTACTAAAAAAAATATGTATTAACTGCTAGAAATTGGGAACTGTCTTTCAATCACCCTAGAAGTGTTAATGCAAAGAGAACACACTGATGAATGGGAGCGCACTGATGAATGGAGGCAGCCTTGAACTGGTGGAGCTATACAGCTATTCCTTATGAATACCCTAAGAACCTACCAGATTCACTAAGGTCAGTGGTATATCAGCCAACATGTCTTAAACCATCTTCTACTCAGTATGCCCTTCCCCACTCTAAAAACCACCCAATACCCTTCCACTTCCCTACTCTCCCATACCTACCTTTACTGCCTGGCAAACTTTTATTCTTTCTCTAAACTCCTGCTAAAATGTCATCTCATTCAGAAAGCCTGTCCTATCTATAATCTCCCCTTAGAGAGTTCTCTTAAAGAGTTAACATACCCTTCCTTAGTTCTAACTCTGTACCTTATACTTGCTTCTACCATTCCATTTATCATATATTGATATATCATAATATTTTTACATATCTATCTACCTTACTAGACTATGAAACAGACTAAGACACTTACGTTTTAAGAGGGAATGATCTCTAACAGCTTCTGCAGCTAATACAGACTTTCCACAACCTGCCATTCCATATATGGTGACCCATCCTGGTTCACCATTCAATTTCGAGAGCTTCTGCTGAATTGCATTCACCAGTTTCTTCCTTGCGACAAAAACAACTGGCCTCTGTGGTACTCCACCTTCACATAGGACTGTCCTTACTAAAATCCAAAACAAAACAAGAATGAATGAATAGAACTTTGGAATGATCACTGAAGTAATACCATAAAAACCAGAGAGCAAAGCTGAGGCTTAGCCTGAAAATTTCCAAGAGAAGTAAGAAAATGTGGCTAGCATATTAACTTCAATTTTCTGATTTCTCAGACCACAGAGAGCAAAGGCAAACACACATCCTTCAAGGTAACTAAAGAAAATGAGGCCGGGCACGGTGGCTCAAGCCTGTAATCCCAACACTTTGGGAGGCCGAGGCAGGTGGATCACGAGGTCAAGAGATCGAGACCATCCTGGTCAACATGATGAAACCCCATCTCTACTAAAAACACACAAAAAAAATTAGCTGGCCATGGTGGCACGTGCCTGTAATCCCAGCTACTCAGGAGGCTGAGGCAGGAGAATTGCCTGAACCCAGGAGGCGGAGGTTGCAGTGAGCCGAGATCACGCCATTGCACTCCAGCCTGGGTAACAAGAGCGAAACTCCGTCTCAAAAAAAAAAAAAAGAAAAAAGAAAAAAGAAAATGAAAGCCTCTATCTGTATCTGCCCTTACTCACCCTACTTCCTGACTTTCAGTCTCTCTCATATTGAAGACTGGGAAGGAGGGTATAAAAGGAGAAACATTTATGGCATACCTTTTAAGAGCATATTTCTATAGATTCTTATTTTTTCCCATAAACTCTTATAAACACATAGAACTGGAAAATAAACAAGGGCCTATAAATTGTCTTTTTGTCTCTAAAAATTAGGGTAGACATATTATTATCTCAGCAGTATAGTCCACTGGGCAAGAAGAAAATGTGAGATTTAACATGGATGCAAATAAATATTTAAATTGAAAACATCACTACAATTTTTCAACATGTAGTTTTCAGTGAACTGGTCACACTGTTTTCAGAAAATTACACCTATAATAAGACAAACTGGCAGCAATTTTGATAGCAAAGTGACAGAAGGTATAATGGATACAAACCATATGAAGTTATTCCACTAACTGAATCTTTACCACTGGAAGAAGAGACAACAGGAATGCCATCATGGAGAAGGGCAGCAAGATCTTTATATCCTTCATGTAGTAGAGCATTGTAGAATGATATGTAGGAACCATTATCTTTTTTAAGTATCATTTTAATTAGCATAGCTGCTCTTTGCTGTTGAGTGGGCTAAAAAAAAAATTAAGTAATTTAGAATATACAACAATAAGTATGTACACAACATAAATTAGTGGAGATCAGGGCAAGTTCTAAAATTCTAAAAATTTTTAAGAAAATGTGTACTGCCTCTGAGAGCTTTACCTCATTTCTTACTTTTTCCTCTTCTGATATTGTTAAAAATCCATCACTAATCATGTGATCCATGATGTAGGATGTCTTGATGTCCTTTTCCAGAACTTCTCTATGTTGAAGCAAACAATTTCGAGCTTTTGCATCCATCCTCCCTCAAATCTTTTTCTCTTTGAGCTGTCAACCATTAGCTACAGCCAAAACACCAAATGCTTGTCAGGCAAAATAAATACATGAAAAGATACATAATCTCACTAGTAAACAAGAAATGTAAAAAGAACAAAACTGATTGTTTTTTCTTGGCAAAAATTTTTAAATGGACAAAACCCAATGCTTGGAAAGGTATGAGAAAATCGGCATTCTTATGCACTAATTGGGGAAAGTAGAAAATGGAAGCAATTTTTCTGGAAGGCAGTATAAGATACAGAAGTGTTTAAAGTAAGTCTTCTCTCTAACCCAGAAATCCCACTTCTAAGAATTTACCTCAAGGAGACATTCACACTCATATGTAAAAATATCCATTGGAAAATTAATGAGCTTCAGATTAGATGTGGTGGCTCAAGCCTATAATCCCAGCACATTGGGAGGCTAGCATAAAAAATAAAAATAAAAAAGAATGAATGAAGGATGTTTCAGTGATGAAAAATAATGATGGACAACCTAAATGTCCATCATTCTGAATATGGATTTTAAAAATTAGGGTGTGTATATAAAATGGAATATTATGCAGCCATTCAAAATTATAAGACACATATCTCTATGTATTGACATGGAAAGATGCTCATATCACTGCTGCTGAAAAAACAGAAATATGATCCCACATATAACATAAAACGTGTTGGCACCATATGAAAATATATAGGAGATGTTTAGAAGTTTATTCATCAAAATGTTTGGGTTACTTCAGAGTAGCAAAATTTGGGATTTCTTCCACCCTGTCTTAATTTTTTTTTTTTTTTCTGGTAGTAGAGATGGGGATTCACCATGCTGACCAGGCTGGTCTCGAACTGCTGACCTCAGGTGATCCACCAGCCACAGCCTCCCAAAGTGCTGGGATTACAGGTGTGAGCCCCACCATGCCCAGCCTCTACTGTTATTCTTTTTTAACATACATTATCATTTTTTACAATAAAATACTTCCTTTTAAAATCAAGATTGCATAAAATAGTGATTACACTGAAGTCCTAATTTTTTTTTTTTTTTTTTTTTTGAGACGGAGTTTCACTCTTGTTACCCAGGCTGGAGTGCAATGGCGCGATCTCGGCTCACCGCAACCTCTGCCTCCTGGGTTCAGGCAATTCTCCTGCCTCAGCCTCCTGAGTAGCTGGGATTACAGGCACGAGCCACCATGCCCAGCTAATTTTTTGTATTTTTAGTAGAGACGGGGTTTCACCATGTCGACCAGGACAGTCTCGAACTCTCGACCTCGTGATCCACCCGCCTTGGCCTCCCAAAGTGCTGGGATTACAGGCTTGAGCCACCGCGCCCGGCCATGAAGTCCTAATATTAAGAGACTTCTTGTTTTCTTTATCAAACATAAGACTGAATAGAGCATTATTAGTATTGAGTATTAGTTCTCATTCAAGGAGGATGTCAGTTCTAGGTCTTCCTTGCTAAACACATTTCCCACAAAGCAACAGGAAATACTTTCAGATGTTGCTTCTCGAACCAAGAGGACATGAGGAAAGAATAACAGCCTTTATAGTAAAATACTTGAAGTTTCTAGCAACTTTATTTCAAATATAATGCAAATTTTTCCATGGGCATAAAACCCAGTTCACAGTATCTGCAAGTTTTCAAAACATTAACAAAACTCTATCCAATGTATAGAGTGAGTCTAAATGGGTTTATTAATTAAGTCATTCAGATTGTAGGTCTAAAGGCCAAGCAGCCCCGTCGCTAGGATGCCATGTGGAAGCCGAAGCCGCACCTCCCGCATGGCCTCTCCGGCCAGCCAGGCCCCTCAGATGAGAGCTGTGCCCAGGCCAGCACCAGCCGCTCAGCCACCAGCAGCAGCACCCCCCTCTGCAGTTGGCTGTCCTGCTGCTGTACCCCGGCAGCCAAGTCTGCTGTCCCAGATGGCAACCACTGCAGCTGGCGTGGCTGTGGGCTCTGCTGTGGGGCACACACTGGGCCACACCATTACTGGGGGCTTCAGAGGAGGAAGTGATCCTGAGCATGCGAGGCCTGACATCACTTACCAGGAGCCTCAGGGAACCCAGCTGGCACAGCAGCAGCACCCTTGCTTCTATGAGATCAAACAGTTCTTGGAGTGTGCCCAGAACCAGGGTGACATCAAGCTCTGTGGGGGTTTCAGTGAGGTGCTGAAACAGTGCCGACTTGCAAACGGATTGGCCTAATCAAGAAGTTCATGGCTCAAGCCTGTAATCCCAGCACTTTGGGAGGCCGAGGCAGGTGGATCACGAGGTCAAGAGATCGAGACCATCCTGGTCAACATGATGAAACCCCGTCTCTACTAAAAATACAAAAAATTAGCTGGGCATGGCAGCGCGTGCCTGTAATCCCAGCTACTCAGGAGGCTGAGGCAGGAGAACTGCCTGAACCCAGGAGGCGGAGGTTGCGGTGAGCCGAGATTGCACCATTGCACTCCAGCCTGGGTAACAAGACTGAAACTCCGTCTCAAAAAAAAAAAAAAAAGAAGTTCAAACTGGAGAAATGGAAAACCAGCTCTCACAACCAAGTTAACTTAATATAAAAATTTAATTAATAGTGAAGGTATAAAGTGTAGCCATCAGTTAAACCTCTCCTGTCATTCCTAGCTTCCTTGCTTCAGAATTGAAATGGAAGGGAGTGTGCCTATCTGTAGAATTTGAAGCTGGTTAAATGTTTGTGTGGCCTCCTTAAACTAGCTGTTACGATTTTATTCTTTGTGAGTTAATTAGAATAAAGTGATTTTCTTCCAAAAAAAAAAAAAAATTCATTCAATACACCTTTGTGCCCCTCCCTATGTGTCAGGCACCAAGACTACAGAAAAAAATTGAGTCATTTCCCTGAAATAATTCACAGTCTAGTCAGAGAAGAAAAAGAGTGAGAATGTGAATATGCCCAAAGTACAAAAATAGAGCACAAGTAATTTGGAGCTCACAGAAGAGGGGCAATAATTATCAAACTTCAATGACTTTTTTTTTTTTTTAAAGATGGGGTTTCACCATGATGGCCAGGCTGGTCTTGAACTCCTGACCTCAGGTGATCCACCCACCTTGGCCTCCCAAAGTGTTCAGATTACAGGCGTGAGCCACTGCGCCCAGCCAATGACTATTTTTTAAGTCACCAAATGTAACACTTGGAAAAATAGGGACGTAGGGCATTTGCCTATGCTTGTCAAGGCTTACAAAATGCCCAGCAGTGGCGCGAAACTGTTAAAAAGTTATTCATTGGAATTAAACTCTCATTTTTTAAAATGTTAATGTTTTTGTCAATGCTTCTCAATTTACAGTAATGAAATTCCATGTGAAAAAAACAATGAATGAATGAATTTTTTAGGTTATATCCAATAGCTAAGCAAACAGACACTCTGGATTTCTGGAACTAATTTCCAATTTCACCTAGTCCTGTTAAACTAAAATATATAAACCTTTAACACGTTTTAAAACTGCACAAATCAAAATATCTGAACAAAGTCTCAAAGGGTCCCACCTTTTGTAACCCACAACAAAATGGAAAGCAAAACTCTTCATAGATGTAAAATAGGAAGCACAGTATATGTTTATCCACAAAAACCTCAAGTTTACTACTTCCTCTTTAGATAATTTCTCTTCCTGGTACAGGAGAAGGATGGTCATCAAATATTCCATGTCCTCAAATTCCCTGTCCCTGAAATCGGCTACCGAGCCTCCCAAGAACCTGGCTCAGGGAGAAAGGCGAGGAGGTCAACTTACCCAAGCCTTAGCGTCTAGGACTTACTGGGAAGGGCGGCACTGCAGGGACAAGACTAGGAGACGCCAGGCCGATGGGGGCGAAACAGCAAAAGGGGTTTTCCTCCGGGAATCGGGAGTGCGGGGCGCTGGCTCATCACATACCCTGCGCCCCGGGGCAGGTCCGGTCCTCACAGGCGCCTCACCTGGATCTATGCAGCCCCGGGGCGCTCAAAGACCCCCAGGTACCTCCGAAGGGTGGCGAGGTGGGCGTCCACCACGCTGCAGCCTGACCCCACAGTCCCGGGGCGCCGCGGCGAGGCCCGGCCCGCGGGCCGCCCGCCGATGGACCCCACTCCTAGACACAAAGGGATGAGGGGTTCCCGGCCTGTGGCGCCCTTCCCACGGCGGCAGCTGCACCCCGCGGGAGCCCGGCGCTACTCCGGACGCCGCCGCGGCACCTCAAGTCTTCGCGGGTCGCCGACTGCCCAGACTCCACACCTCCGGCTCTATCCCTTTTGCCCAGGGATAGAACAGACGGTCCCACTCGCTACCTCTTCTCCGCCTCTGTACAGCTGAGCAGCCAAAACCCGCTGGGTACGCCCAGGCCGGACGGCGCGCGCCCGCTTATGCTAATAAACACACCCTAAGCCCCAAGGGGCGACCACGGCTGCCGCCGCGCACTCCCGCCGCCGCTCCAGCCCGCGCGCGTAGGGGAAGTGCCCGCCCACCGCGCGGAGAGGGCGTGACTAAGGCACACGGACCGGCCGCTTTCTCACCAAGGCAGCATTCGGGCCGCGGCGGCGCGCTCGACGTGGCGCGCGCGGCCACGCCCCTTCCTCCTCTAGTCCCGTCGGCCTGCGCGCGCCCGGGAGTTTGAATTGCCTGGGATTTGGAGCAATCTCGCAGGCGAAGGCGCTGCGGGGTGAGGTCGCCGCCAATATCGACTAGGGGAACTAGGGAGCAGGGAGCTGAAACGCTCCGTGAATCAGAATCAACGAGGATGGCGGGACGAGGGAAGGGGCTGGGCCCTGGGCGGTGCCAAGTCTGTGAGGGGGCGCGGTCACCGCCCAGGATTCCCGCAGACGCCCAGGCGGCCACGTCCTGCTTCCCCGGTGAAGAAGCCGTCCGGGGCTTGTCGTGCTCGGGCCTCCAGACATGTCTGACGTGAAGAGCCGGAAGAAGTCGGGGCCCAGGGGAGCCCCTGCTGCGGAGCCCGGGAAGCGGAGCGAGGACAGGAAGAGCCCCGAGGCCCCGGGCGGCGGAGGCGGGGGCTGGGCGGACCCCCGGACGGGCCTGAGTCTGCTGTCGCTGGGGACGTGCCTGGGCCTAGCCTGGTAAGTGGACGCGAGGCTCCCCGGCCGGCCTCCTGCGAGCCCGCTGCTGCCTGGGCTCCCAGCCGGCTCCGCATCCCGACGGAGGCGATCCAGCCCCCCAGACCTGGGCCTTCTGTGCCTCTGTCTCTTCCCCGAAGGCAGGAGACAGCCCGGCCTTGTTTTTCCCTTTCGCGCGTTTCCTGTATCTCGTTTTCTCCCGTACTGGTAGCATGCCCATATCGCTCAGACGGCGTTGAGGCTAAGGTCTGGGAACTAGCCGTTCGTGAAGAGCTGCAGATTCGGCCACACTTTCTGAAGCGCGCGATACGTGTCAGAAGCATTCCTGTTAGAAACCGTTACTTCTTGTCTACTGTGCCCCAGTCCGGGACCCATCTGCCCCATTCTACTTGCCTCATAAATGCCTAATGGAAATATTTGCAACCTTAAAACAGATCATTATGTTGGGAGACCGAGGCAGGTGGATCACTGGAGGTCGGGAGTTCGAGACTAGCCTGGTCAACATGGTGAAACCCCGTCTCTACCAAAAATACGAATAATTAGCCGGGCGTGGTAGTGGGCCCCTGTAGTCCCAGTTACTCCGGAGGCTGAGGCAGGAGAATCGCTTCAACCCGGGAGGCACAGGCTGCAGTGAGCCAAGATTGCACCGCTGCATTCCAGCCTGGGCGACCGAGAGAGACTCCGACTCAGTCTCAAAAAACAAACAACAACAACAAAAAACCCAGATCGTTATGATAACAGCAGAGTTTGGAGGAGACCTCGTATGTTGATCACCGTGCATGCATTGTGAAGTTAAGGTCTTTTACTAAGTTAGCGATAGGTTGAACTTCGATATGGTAAAGCTACAAAACCATAGCACTCGTGTCCACTTTAAACAGTTGCAGTTTTTAAACCAGGTAAATGGCGGTATATTGGTGTCATTAGGAAAAATGAATATTAGAAATAACCTTACAACCAACTTGTGAATTTTATTTTCTGAATTTTTTTGTGGGGGTAGAGAGGGAATAGCACATTTCATTTTAATAAGACTGGCACCTTAATAGAATTTTTCTCCATTTTTCATTTATTTGCAGAGTTATTTAGTAAGGCTATTGTCAGTCTTCCAGAGTGATCGAATTTTAGAAGAGATCCTGGATGTCTAGAACATTTTTGATGCTAGTACATATGGAATTATACTTTACTGGTGACTCATCTGAAATTGTGTATTTTTCAGAGTTAAAAGATGTGTTACGACCAAGCTCAGTGGCTCACACCAGTTATCCCAGCACTTTGGGAGGCCAAGGTGGGCGGATCATGAAGTCAGGAGTTCGAGACCAGCCTGGCCAACATAATGAAATCCCATCTCTACTAAAAATACAAAAATTAGCTAGGCATGGTGGCACAGACCTGTAATCCCAGCTATTCAGGAGGCTAAGGCAGGAGAATCACTCTATCCGGGGAGGTGGAGGTTACCGTGAGCTAAGATTGCACCATTACATTCCAGCCTGGGCAACAGAGCCAGACTCTGTCTCTAAAAAAAATTTCTTTTAAATTTTGTTACAATAAAGTAATTAAATGCTCTCTTCAAAAACGACAGAATTGTCAACTGGCGGTGGCCGCTCCCGCTCATGCCTATAATCCCAGCACTTTGGGACACCAAGGCAGGCAGATCACCTGAGGTCAGTAGTCGGAGACCAGCCTGGCCAACATGGCAAAACCCTGCATCTACTAAAAATACAAAAAAGCCAGGCATGGTGGCACGCTCCTGTTATCCCAGCTACTCAGGAGGCTGAGGCAGGAGAATCGCTTGAACCCAGGAGGCAGAGGTTGCAGTGAGCCAAAATCATGACACTGTTCTCCAGCCTGCACGATGGAGCAAGACTCTTTCTCAGGAAAAAAAAAAAAAAGATAGCATTGTTTATTTTACGAATACGGAATATGTTAATTTTGATCTGAAAGGAATAAATGTACTGAATTTACTGTTTTAAATAAACTGCTCTTATGCCTTTAAAAGGGTGACCTTCTTTAAGTAAATTTAAAAAAAAAACTTTTTGGGCCAGATGTGGTGGCTCATGCCTGTAATCCTAGCACTTTGGGAGGCCGAGGTGGGCTAATCACTTGAGGTCAGGAGTTTAAGACCAGCCTGGCCAACATGGTGAAACCCCATCTCTACCAAAAATACAAAAATTAGCTGGACCTAGTGGCGCATACCTGTAATCTCAGCTACTCAGGAGGTTGAGGCAGGAGAATCACTTGAACCCAGGTGGTGGAGGTTGCAGTGAGCCAAGATCTGCCACTGCAATCCTGGGTGACAGAGCGAGACTTGCCTAAATAAATAAACAACCTTTTTTGTACTGAGAAAGTGAGTTACTATCCTGGTTAGCTTTAATAGAAAACTAAATTTTATGGGAATAAAACATCAGGAATTTGCTGTTAGTGATTCTTTACTGCCTGCAGACAATAAAGACCAAAATGTATTACATTCATTAGGGAGATTTCATTTGAGCTATGTGTTTGCAAAATGATAAAACATTGCTATATCAAAAATAATTTTGGGGGCCAGACATAGTGGTTCATGCCTATAATCCCAACACTTTGGGAGACTGAGGTAGGAGAATCGCTTGAGGCCAGGAGTTGGAAACCAGCCTGGGAAACATAGACCATGTCTACAAAAAAAATTTTAAACAGCCAAGTGTGGTGGTGTTCACGCACCTGTAGTCACAGCTACTTGGGAGGCTGAGGTGAAAAGATAGGTTGAGCCTGGGAAGTCGAGGCTGCAGTGACCGATGATTACACCACTCTGCTCCAGCCTGAGAGACAGAGAAAGACCCTGTGTCTCTAAAATATATGTATTATATGTTTTGTTTTTTTTTTTTTTTTTGAGACAGAGTTTCACTCTTGTTACCCAGGCTGGAGTGCAATGGCGCGATCTCGGCTCACTGCAACCTCCGCCTCCTGGGTTCAGGCAATTCTCCTGCCTCAGCCTCCTGAGTAGCTGGGATTACAGGCACACACCACCATACCCAGCTAATTTTTGTATTTTTAGTAGACGGGGTTTTACCATGTTGACCAGGATGATCTCGATCTGTTGACCTCGTGATCCACCCACCTCAGCCTCCCAAAGTGCTGGGATTACAGGCTTGAGCCACCGCGCCCGGCCTGTATTTTATGTATTTTTTAATGGGCACATTCTACCATTCTTTTTTTTTTTTCTTTTTCTTTTTTTTTTTTTTGAGATGGAGTTTCGCTCTTGTTACGCAGGCTGGAGTGCAATGGCACGATCTCGGCTCACTGCAGCCTCCGCCTCCTGGGTTCAGGCAGTTCTCCTGTCTCAGCCTCCTGAGTAGCTGGGATTACAGGCATGCACCACCATGCCCAGCTAACTTTTTTTTTTGTATTTTTAGTAGAGACGGGGTTTCACCATGTTGGCCAGGATGGTCTCCATCTCTTGACCTCGTGATCCACCTGCCTCGGCCTCCCAAAGTGCTGGGATTACAGGCTTGAGCCACTGCGCCCAGCCATTCTACCATTATTATTTAGTTGACAGTTGCTCTTGTGAAATCTTTTGCTGCAAAAATTGAAGCATTTGTACTTTGGTTACTGTTTATAGCAAAATATTTATTCATAGTAAATTTGGGAATAAAAATTTATCACCATAAGGCATTTGTAAATATTTTCCAAATAAAAAGCAAGTGTTTGGCATCTTAAAATACTTAAAAGCTCACTAGAATTTTAACAAAGCCATTGAGATCTTTACCACTAAAACACATAATTCAGCATCTAAAAGTCAGTCCATCAAATCCTTATTAAATGCTTTCTGTACTGACAGGGCCCTGGTGGTTAAAATACAAGTGCATATGTGTGTCTCTCTGTGTACTCTTAAACATTGCTTATCTGTCCTCTCACTCTTCATCTGATTAAGTTGGAGGAAAAAAATCTGAACCCTTTCACTGCCCAAGGAGGATTTCAAGGAATTGCACTATGTCATTGTCTTCAGACCATTTTCTATTTGGAAAGGAAAGAGAAATAATATGTAAGAAACTTAAAAGTGTGTTACTTTAATATTTTCTCCCTGCTAAATAAAGGCTGGGTGCAGCAGTGCCTCCCACCTGTAATCCCAGCACTTTGGGAGGCCAAGTTGAGTGGATCACTTGAGCTCAGGAGTACAAGACCAGCCTGGGCAATGTGGTAGAACCCTGTCTCTACGAAAAATACAAAAAAAAAATAACATGCCTATAGTCCCAGCTACTTGAGGGTGCTGAGGTGGGAGGATCACTTGAGCCCTGGAGTTTGAGGTCTCAGTGAGCTATGATTGAGCCACTGCACTCAGCCTGGGTGACAAAATGAGACCCTATGTCAAGAAAAAAAAAAAAAAAGGCGCGATATATCCTATGGAAAAATTTCAGATAAAAGAATTGAGATTCTGCTTTCAGAAAGTTAAAAAGTTGTGAAATTACTAAACAAGACACAAAACCTGTCACACATCCTTATTTAATTACATGGAAATTTAATCAGCTGGAAATTCCATTGTGAAAATTGTGTTTCTTAAGGATATTTCAACAGATTTTTTTTCATTGCTTTTATAAAAGTTTTTTTATAGTATCTGTTATAATTCTATACAAAAAATCAAAAGCTCTTTAAACAAGTCATATAATTGGTATTTTTTTTGTTGTTATCCAATATAATTTTCTCTATAAATCCTACTGTAAAACCTTGGCTAACTCCATTTCTAGTTCTAGTTTTCTTTCTGTTAGTAGAGTTTTATCTAAAAGACAAGGGTATACTTTAAATGCCCTGCTTCTTAAAAATGGAATATAGTCAAGGTTTTCTTGAAACCTGGGTATTGTGCTAAAAATGAGGCTATAGATTGTATGAAACATAGGGCTAAGTGGATACTGACCCTAATAGTGGCCCTGGAACTTCTTTCCTTGCAGAAGTTCTATAACAACAGCTTCCGTTGGTTATTTGCATCTTTTTCATTAAGCTGAAATAGAGCCAGAGGAAATCCTGAATTTATAAGTCCT